CATTATCAACTATTAATAAAATAAATGTCGTTTTAGATATTTTGTATATATTTCTATTATTACCCCCATATAGTTAATAAATACACTATGTCTTTTCATATTCACTCATTATCTTTTCTCAAAACATTCATCTCTATCCTCATGGGTTATTATTGGCAAAAAAAAAAAAATCTTAATAACTGTGCAACTTCTCAAAACGACAAATACTATGAATAGGAGGGACTATAATATAAAAGTAGTACATATATTATATATATAAGATATATAGAGCTATATCTATCATTAGATTTAAAAAATAATTTTAATTCTCTTGATAAGAATTTTTATTTTGTTGTACTTTTTAGAATATATACTAAATTTATCAATTTTGTTGTACCTTTTAGAATATATACTAAATTTATCAATTATAATATCGTGGATGACATTGAGAAACTTTAAGACAATATTACTAAAATAAAATAAAAAAAATATATTATGACATAAATGATGTTAAATTGTGATATGAAAAATAACAAAAAAAAGTAGTATTACTATAGATGTTTCACTTATTCGAAAGTGTTGCACGAAAATATCATACATTACTGAAGTGTTACAAAGTATTACTAAAATGCCAAAATTTCATAATATCAAAAGCATTACAAAAATATAATACATAAACTAATAATTTGTAAAGCGCTACAATAAATATGTTACCTAAAACTATTTATGTTGTAGTCCACCAAGTTAGAAAACCACACAAAAATAGAAAACTCAAAGAAGTAAAAGCCCCTTGCCTAGTGCAGCTGGTGGTCAGAACAAATGGGCTCCGCGCCTTGATTTCACCGTTTGTCCATATGATGGAGCCAAACATAGGTCTTTGAGACTTGGAAATTTTAAAGGATATGCGATACGCAAGTCTGTTGACACCCTCCGTGAAGTGGAGTCTATTAGGGACAACCCAGATGTCCACTAGTCGGCGCCTCGACCATGGCGTCTTATGTTGCCACCATGCCTTTAACATTAGTCGCAGTTCTTGTCACAGTCCGGACCTCATGTTTCTTCATATGGGAAATGGAGATCGAAGGGTAGTTCATTTTAGAGACAGTGTTGGAGCTTAAGTTGATCGGGCACGAAAAGTTAAGACCAACTACATCCGGAGAAATCAACATAATTTTGGTCTGATCGTTACCAATGGCGCACAAGTATCTGACGTAGTCATATAAGTCAGTCTCTTAGATGAGCACCAGATTGATCGGACCCATTATCTAAATCTCTCCAGCTCCGATTTCATACGGGGTTGTTATTTCCTCTGTTAGCGTCTTGATAGGCGTCCCATTGTTATTTGTGTTTATTGTTGCAAACAATTGAAAACAAACACATATATTAATGTTAAAATGGCAGTGTGTTTATATTGTTAAGATATTTGTTTTAGTGAAGTATTTAATATTGTGGTCATAATAGCTGATCTGATGGCCGATGGACCCCACGTCGGATAATGGGATTTGACTCGCGCAACCAATGCAGTGACGTGAGGGCATGCTATTGACGTTCTGGAGACCATAACAAATTTGGATAGCTCTCTACCCTCTACACTTTCTCTAGTAATGATTGTGGGCCATACGGCCAATATCATTACTCCAGGTGCTGTTATGTCCGACTGAAACAAAAAATAATTAAGGTTGAAGAAAAAGAACACAAAATGATTAGTCCATTTTTCCACGTGCCTATAGTTATATGAAATGGAAAAAACTTGCCTTCAATAGGCCTTCAATGCCAGGAATGGGTCCTCTTGAAGAAAATGAGCGACAATTGGAGTTGGAATATGATTCGGCATACCAATAGTCGGTAAAATCGTCGCAGTAGGTTTGCTGCTTTCAGACAAGTTAAAACAATTTATTTAGCTACTCTTGAAGTCCTCATTCCAATTCTTTTAAACTAAATAATAGTTTTAGCAATGTCTGTCATTATTTCATTTAGATTTTAGTTGAAGAATTTTCCATTATCAAGTATGGCCTAAAGAGAAAAAAATTGGAATAAAAAGAAAAAAAAACTTGTCAACTCTAAGAATTACCTTGTTGACGCTATATAAGAAAATAGCTGAGCCCCAACAATTCCATCAACTACAACAATGGGAAGAGTCTCATAATGTGGTGGAGTATGTTGTATGTCAAGCATATTCTCTATCACAATTAACATCCCTATTATTCCATACTGATTTTGGAGTATTTTAAAATTCTGAGTGATCAAATTGTCATTAATCTGCTTGATTTTGCACAAGATGATGCTTTAATTCACCTTGGCAATGTTCAGTGAGCCAGAGAGGCAATACTTAAATCAAATACATTATTTATAAATATAACACATATGTGTAAATTTTATACGTTATATTTTTTATATAGAAAGATAATGAATAAGTGTTGTAAATTTGTTACGAAATTTTCCACCTTGCAGATTCTTCATCATCAAGGTTGAAGCCTACTATTGCTGATGCACCATCAATCAAGGCATAAACGGGGTTCTTCTACAGTGCGGAAAAATTGATACCCTAAACCTAAAATTGCAAAAATCAAAATCCAATGTGCATTGTAAATCCTGACATTTATTCCATCGTTTTGATTCATTCTTAATGCATATGTGCATATGAATGTTAGACAAATATTTGATAATTTAGAATTTAATCGCAAAACAAATATTTCCTAGTTTGAGAGCACTAGTAAGATGCACGTGCATTGCACGTGATTATTGATATTTGTTATGGTTTAAAAGTTATTTTTCTTGAATTTATATTAAAATATTGAATACATTTCATTAGCTTAATAATATATATATATATATATATATATATATGTATAATAAATTTTATTAATTTATTAGGTTATGAAATGCAATCTATAATGATATTAACATAAAGCTATAATGGAATCAAAATAAATAATTATTATTTATAAAAATCCTCCATCTGGCCAAGGAAGTCCCACGAGCGTGTGGTCTTAAGTTGAAAGTTGGTGTCAAGGAAAACAAACACAATCCCAGGTTGGCTCGACAAATCTCGTTTTATCTTCGGTCAGACGGGCAGAGAACCCGAAAAAACCGTGTTTGTATGTATGGACCACCGCATTCTCATCCTATTGGTGGGTTGACATATATATATATATATTTCTATACTCATTATTTTATATTTCTACATCTTAGCAAAACAATATCTAAAGCAGCATGCATTTGAGATTTCTGTTTCAGTTCAGAATTACAACATTATTATTAATATCAATATCTTCTCGCAAGGAGCTCATCATATTCGTGTGGCCTTTCTAGCTTCAGAGTTTGCTCCTCCCATGTACACTACATATATTTTTTGTCCTCCATCTAAGATGCAACAGAAACAGTAGTTTCTGTTACAATAAAATTTGCATGTGATGAGCCAATATTTTAATTTGGCATGCACAATCTAAATTTACCATTAACCTGTTAATTAATTCCCATATCTATACTGAACACACCTTGTCTGAAGCCCGTCATCGTAATTAGGAGGAGACATGTGATCCTAACACATGCCATTGACACATGAGACCTGTGAAGATACAACAAAAACTATGTTGCAATTACGAGTTCTAAAATTATTCTCACTATAATGCAGCATCTTTAAACAAAACAAATTATTAATGCTTACCTGTAGGCGCTGGTCAACAAAACCACAACGGATTCTATTGATGGTATGACTACAAACTGTTGTCCCCGCAAATTACATATATATATTAGATTTTATTTTATTATATTTTTTTTTGAAAAAAAAAACCATATATCAGTACAAACTTAGGGTGAGAGCTGCTTTGCATAGTTCATATTTATATTCGAAAAAGAAATCAAAGAGGAACACAATACTTCAGCGGAAAAAAAAAAAAGAAAAAAGGTCCCACCTATTGCAACATTGTCAGAATTGGAGAATGTTTGTGCAAGTCACGTAACTACATAAGAAATCCAAATGTTTCTCAAAAGCAAGCATATATTCCACATTCAGCTCCCAGCAGCAATTGTAGAAAAATTATGATTCTTCATCATTCAACCTAGATTCTTCAGCATCTAGGTTGAAGCCTACTTTGCTGATGTACCATCGATCAAGACATAAATAAGGTTCTTCTGCAGTTGGAAGAAATTGATACCCCAACCTTAGAATTGCAAAAATCGCAATTCAATGTTCATTGTAAATTCTCACATTCATTCTATCGTTTTGATTCTGATTCTTAATGCATATATGCATGTGAATGTCAGACAAATATCTGATTATAAGTAATGTGCTTAAGAATTTTGAAACATCTACTCTCGTTGAATTATGTCAGAAATTATAGAAAGTGGTAGATCGAATGTATATGTTATGTTAACTAGATTGGTCCGTTAAGTTTTGACGTTACCGGTTCTACTTATGCAACGGAACGAGCTTTTTTCAGCCATGAGGCATGTGAAGTCAGAATTTCGTAATAAGATTGAGCGAAGATTGTTTGGTTCTCTCTATCGGACCGGAATTTGCTAGTAGTATAAGTATAGACTTTATTATTGATCAATTTTACTCATTAAAAGCTCAGCGAGCACAATTTCAGGTGACTATATAAAGAATAATATTATTATTTTTGTGAAACTGAGTTTTCACATTTCTATCCAGTATACTGTTTTTGGACCCGTCCCTAGGTGCAGGGCGTGTTTCTTGCAGCCTTGAGTGGAGAAGCACATGATTGGTTTCATCAGCTCGCCTCAGGATTTGTTAGAGAGTTTTGAGAATTTCGCAACCATCTTCCTCAACCAGTTCTCAAGTGCTAAGTGGCAAGAGAAATTAGCTATATTATTGTATATTTCTAGTAGTTGAATTTTTCCAACAAACAACTCTTCCTTTAAATTAAAAGAGAGATATTATTATAGATATATTATTGTATATTTCTAGTAGTTGGACTGCACTATTTAAACTCATATTATGGACATTGTGTGTCGTATTAATGAATTCCGCAAATTTTCCGGGAGCATATAGAGTCTAATTAATAGGAAGGTGTGAATTGTAAGTTGTAATTTGGAAGAGGAAGTGTCATTACCTTGATTATGTGACCCCCTCCTAGAAGCACGCCAGCGACGAGCTCCCGATCCGTGGTTGTGGCGGCAACCGTGAAGATCCAGAGAGTAGCATTTACCACTGTGTCGGGTATCGAGCCTTTGTTCACAGCCGCGCACACAACGGTGATCCCCCTCTCCGTTGCGTGGAAAGCTCCGATGGAGATGACATCTTTGGAGAAGTCCGACTGACCACTAGGCGACGAGGTAAGGGACAACGATAACACGTCGACCCCATCGGCAGTGGCATCGTCGAACCATTTGAGGATGAAAGACGAGGAGCATTGTATCAGCCTGTCGTCTGTGCAGACGCCATACATAGAAACCCTCGATCTCGGGAAGCTGTCTCTGGCAGTCCCATTTATCAGGCCGTAGTATGAGCTATCGGGCACTAACCTCCCGACTGCGGTTGATGTCACGTGGGTCCCAGGCCCGGTCTCGTCTCGTGGGCTGTTGGAGTTGGCGTAGTATCTGGCTCCAATTATTTCCTTTTTTTTTGAACAAAATGATGAGAGCTGGTACATAAACAAATATTATGACTTTTATGTGAAGTGAACAGAATAACATGGTATTTAATTAATTTACCTGTTGCAGCTGGAGGACGTGAAATCATGAGCTTCCATGCACTTCCCTCTCCAGCGTGTAGGTATGGGCCCCATATCAATGTCATTGAAGCTCTCAGACTCGGGCCAAATCCCTGAGTGTACATGGTGTGTTGTTTTAGGTTATAAAACATTGCTAATTAATCAACTACTGAATACTGCTTTTCCCTCACCTGAATCCAAGAAGCCAATGATGGTGTCAGCTCCATCCTCGTCACAGGCTACACCAGAAGTAGAAGTATGATGGGCGAAAATTGGAGTTGGAATATGATTCGGCATACCAATAGTCGGCAAATCGTCGCAGTAGGTTTGCTGCTTTCAGACAAGTTAAAACAATTTATTTAGCTACTCTTGAAGGCTTCATTCAAATTCTTTTAAACTACATAATGTTTTAGCAATATCTGTCATTATTTCTTTTATATTTTAGTTTAAGAGTAGTTGTCCATTATCAAGTATGGCCTAAAGAAAAAAAATAGAAAAAAAAAGAAAAAAAAATTCAACTCTAAGTATTACCTTTTTTACGCTATATAAAAAAATTGTTGAGCCCCACCATTTTCGTCGACTGCAATAATGGGAAAAGTCCCATAATGTGGTGGAGTATGTTGCATGTCAAGCATATTCTATATCACAATTATCATCCATATTATTCCATACTGATTTTGGAGTACTTTAAAGTTTTGAGTGATCAAATTGTCATCAATCGGCTTGATTTTGCACAAGATGATGCTTTCATTCACCTTGAAAATGTTCAGTGAGCCAGAAAGGCAATACCTAAATCAAATACATTATTTATAAAGATAACATATACGTATAAATTTTATACGATATTTTTTTATTACAAATTTTTCCACCTTGCAGATTCTTCATCATCTAGGTTGAAGCCTACTTTTGCTGATGCACCATCGATCAAGGCATAAATGGGGTTCTTCCGCAATGCGGATAAATTGATACCCCAACCCTAAAATTGCAAAAACTGCAATCCAATGTGCATTGTAAATTCTTACATTTATTCTGTTGTTTTGATTCATTCTTAATGCATATGTGCATGTTGATGCTAGACAAATATTTGAGAATTTAAAATTCAATCGCAAAACAAATGTTTTCTAGTTTGAGAGCACTAGTAAGATGCACATGCATTGCACGTGATTATTGATATTTGTTATAGTTTAAAAGTTATTTTTATTGAATTTATATTTAAATATTGAATACATTTCATTAGCTTAATAATATATATATAATAAATTATATTAATTTACTAGGTACCGAAATCCAATCTATAATGATGTTAATTTAAAGCTATAATGTAATCAAAATAAATACTTACTTTTTTTTTATAAAAATCCAAAAATGAGATCAATCAGTTTTAAGTGATTGTTTTTTTTTTCCAAGGAAAACAAACAAATTTATATCACTCAAATAAGGTTCAATACACGGCATAATCAACTGATTACCAAGCTATAGATGTCTAGGAAAAATTACATAACAAAGCCACGAGAAAGATAATCACTTCCCCTCCAAAGACCACATTGGTCTAAAAATCCAGAAATAGAGAAGAAATACTAAACTAGATAAAAAACAAACAAGAAGAAACTTTACAAGTTTCAAACATATCTAGAATGTCTTCAGCTAAGTTCCCATAATCAGAGCAAGAGACATCAGGCTTGTTCAACAGCTGCACTGCCTCTTCATTGTTCAGAAAGCATTTCTCAGATGTCCAGTTGAGGTTCTTGAACTTCTTAAAGCACCATTGAACTGCCAGTAAATAGACCTCAATTGTTAGAATGTTTCTGTGTGGTATCTCCATCTTTTATTCCCAATGAGTCTTGTTGCCTGAGTCATCTTGAGCAGTATACTCCACTTCAATGCTTCCTTCATCAGATGACTGAGCACTGATAAGAAAGTATTTTTTAATCTATCATTTCTTAATCAATGGTATCTTTTCCATTATTTAAAATCATGACCAGCGTTGTAACTTTCACTTGCAGTGATTACTTTTTATTATTCCAAAAGTTAATTATGGTAATTTAAATATTTATATTTAAATGTTTTAGTTGTTTGGGCATAGGCCTAAGAAACAAGAAGTGGGCTACTATATAATATGAATCTATTTTCAAATGGTCACTCGGGCTATAGCCCAGGTATGCTTCAACATACCTCCGCCCCTGATTAGGAGGAGACATATGATCATAACACATGCCATTGATGCGAGAGACCTATGAAGATACAATAAACACTAAGTTGCAATTAAGAGTTTTAAAATTATTCTCTCTCTAATGCAGCATCATTAAACAAAACATATTATTAATGCTTACCTGTAGGCGCTGGTCAATAAAACCACAACGGATGTCGTTGATGTTATGACTACAAACAGTTGTCCCCATAAATTATATATATATATATATATATATATTAGAAAAAATACATTTTTTTTTTTTTTGGATAAAAGACAATATATAAGTACAAACTTAGGATGAGAGTTGCTTTGCATAGTTCATATTTATATGCGAACAAGAAATCAAAGAGGAACACAATACTTCAGCCAAAAAAAAAAAAAAAAACTAAAGGTCCCCACCTATTGCAACATTGCCAGAATTGGTGCAAGTCACGTAATTAAATAAGAAATCCAAATGTTGCTCAAAAGCAAGCATATTTCCACATTCAGCTCCCAACAACTGTAGAAAAATTAAACTTCACTAGCAAGTAATAACAGGAAGAAATTTTGGTCACTAAAACATCAAATTATGTATTAATTGCCCTGTTGATATGTCGGGATAATAATAGATGCAAAATTAATTAATGTGATTTGATTTTGATAAATGTAATCATCATGGCCCCCACACTAGGAAAATACTACATTCTAATGGTAAAATATTCCAATAAAAATTATAACACATATATCAATTAGTATAGTTTTTTTAAAAATTTTAAATGATTTTCATACTCATATAAGAACTCAAAGCGCCAAAACTAATCAACTTAAAATTCAAATATCATTAAATTTCCATATTGAAATACTCATATAAATTATCATATTGAAATTTCATCATTTTCTTTTATGTGAAGGTGGGGTTATAAAAAATGGACGCCTAAGGTACAACAAAGTCGTCATGGAGTATCAGTTCGCGAGTTTCTATTTTGATTTGCTCCCCCCGCCTAATGAGAATGGATACGAGGCTTGTGGTGTTTTCCGGGAGGCCATGGATGAATAAAGTAGAAATAAAGGGACAGGATTAACTGGGCATTAAATAAGGCGACTGCACAAGACCCGCATGGAATGCGAAACGCCAAGAGATGGGACGGTTGGACTGAATCTGATACGTGGTGATGCGATGGTTGGACGAAATAGACGCGGACGCGAGGCAGTCATTCAAATTTCAAAATTTAAAGGAACAAAAGCCCGGTAAGTGTTCACAACATATTTTTACTAACCGCAAGTGTACAGTGTAGCTATAGTAGGCGGCGAGCAAGGTCGTATTTTACAGATATTGTCATTAAATAATTAAGACGGAAATATAGACGATTAAATATTATGTAGATTAATGCAAATTTGAATGGAGATTTAATTCTAAACTAATGAATAGTTGTAAATTAAATTCTAACACTAGTGAAGACTTGTTCGGATAAATCAAGAATGAAAAAACATATTGTAGGCTAAGTTTTCCTCGGTATTATTCTAGAAAATATTTCTTATTAATTCAACCCTTTCTAATTCTACCAGTCAGTGGATAATCACTAAAGTAATCTAACCTCTCTCTCGAGCAAGCCAAATCGTTGATTAATTGCTATGTATTTCTTCTCGGTCTCAAGATGAATAATGAACTTCTCTAACTCCTAAGATTCTAGTTCTCTAGCAAGGTTCTATCAACATCTTAGTATATTTAGTCTCATATGTTATGAATTTCTCAATTCTAGCAATCAACTAACTCATCTCGGTCTCAAGTCAATTACAAATATGCATAACAATGGATAGATTCACACAATTAATATAAGCACAAGAAATTGATAAAAGAATGATAGACCGAAATGAATAAATATAATACTTCATGAAAAAATCTGAGTACTCACAAATCCTAGAGTCCCAAAAGGGTTTAGTACTAAACATACTCTCAATTCTCAAAACAAATTAATACATGAGTTCAATGAAAAAGAAAAAAAAAAAGAAAGAAAGAAGAATTGTTGTCGATGTTAGTTCTCGAATCTTCAATCTTGATTCCTTCGAATCCCTCGTGTGTCTTTTATTTTTCTCGACCTCCAAAAGTGTCAAGAAGTCCCCAAGTTTCATTTATAGTCTAAGCCAAATATTGTTGAAATAGTGAAGTAATCGCATCAGGATCCTAGTCCCCGTTGAGTTGGTCTCTGCGTCACACAACTTGTGTCACATTACCGCTCGAGTCGTTTGACTTTATCTCCAAAAGATCACGTCTCCCAAACTAACACGACTGGTCACACTACCTGTGTGAGTTCACACGACTCGTGTCACATCGAGTCGGTGGCCAAGTCGTAGCTAAAATCATATTTTTCCCTCTCCACACGAGTCGTGCGGCCTCTTGTGCGCCTCATTTTTGCTCTTTTTGTCCCAACTATTTTTTTTTTTACTTTTTCGGGCATATTTCCTGCAAAAACTAACAACAAGAATACCTCCATCATAGATTAATAAATTAAACTAAAAGACGCAACAATTTACCAGTAAACACGACCAAACACCATAATCTATCACTCATAATGCATGTAAATATAATGTCAGTAAGGGGTCGGGTAAAGGCGCGGTAATGACTTAAGAATACGATGGAACTCGAAAAGGCAAGGAAGAGACCAGCACTCCAAAATCAAAGAGTAACTCACTTCACTTTTGGATAGAATCATTCTAACTCGATCAGAGTTGGGGGACCAGATGATATGAGATAACCACACCAAGTCAGCTAGACCAAACCCGGTTAGCCACCGAGTCGAACGTAAGTTGAAGAGTCTACTGGTCGAAGAGGCTTCAGGTTGAAGAAGTCATTCAGGACGCGAAGGGTACAAGCAGGTCGAATAGGCGTTGTCGGATGGTATGATTGAAATTTGACCTGAAGGAGCATGTGGTCGAAGGATCGACTAGATGGGCGTATCAACTAAACTCGACATCGATGACGCTCCACCTCGAAATAATTGGGGTCAGCCGCACCATTAGACTGTCTAATGTGAAAGACTGAAAGATAAGAAGGAACCATACCGTAATTAATACTGCACATGGGCTAAGGTACGTGGCACTATCTGATTGGTCCACGCCTTATAACTGTCTGGGGCAGTACGGGTAGCTCGGGCAGCCAGCTCATTGCATCCGGGTAGGCTTCTAGAAGCATGTAACCCACTCTTATAAATAAGAGTGAGATGTGCAATTTTAGGGTTACGTTCACTATTACCCTCTCTACATACTTTACATACTGCACTTTATCTTGTACATGTACTAACTTAAGTATCGAAAGCTCTTCACCGAAAAACCCTTCGGTGTGAGAGTTCTGCAGGTCTAAAGACGTTCAACTGGCAAAAGAGCTCAAGAACAGTATATTCATATAATTATAATGATAAACGAACAAGTCATCTGTCGAACAACGTAAATTGTTAGTGTAGGAAAAAATATTTGAAATTTTTATTATTATAAAATATAATGATAAATAAATCGGTGTCGAACTATCATATAGTTATTTATGATACCATATATAATGTATATTCATATAATTATAATGATAAACGAACAAGTCATCTGTCGAACAACGTAAATTGTTAGTGTAGGAAAAAAATATTTGAAATTTTTATTATTATAAAATATAATGATAAATAAATCGGTGTCGAACTATCATATAGTTATTTACGATACCATATATAATGTATATTCATATAATTATAATGATAAACGAACAAGTCATCTGTCGAACAACGTAAATTGTTAGTGTAGGAAAAAATATTTGAAATTTTTATTATTATAAAATATAATGATAAATAAATCGGTGTCGAACTATCATATAGTTATTATACTAGAAAGAAAATTTAATTTTTAATCATTCACATTATCATAAGTTATAAAAAAATAAAAAATAATTGTGCTGTAATTGAAAATTAGTAAATTTTTTAACTTCAAAATAATATATGCCATTCTTTTTAAATTAGGTGTCAATTTACAACATTCTTAACAAATTTTCAATTTTACCCTCACTTATTCAGTAATCAAAATAATAATGTATTGTATGTGTTATGAGCAAAGGAAGAGGGAGAAGTCCTTTCGTGACTATAATTTATTGATAATGCTCGAATATTTTAATTTTTTATGTTCCTTTCTTGTAAACTAGAACTCTAAAAACAGATGTTTGTAACGGGTTAAATAAATATGTAAATTATATATTAAAATATTATATATTACGTAAATGAAAGAAAAATAAAATTATTCTAAACTATTTTTATCCTAATTAGTGTTCATTCACATTTAGTATAATTTACTCTACAACCCGAGCATCGCACGAGATACACCATAGTATATATAAAAAGGTTTAGCATTACTTAAATTATTATGTGTAATTTTTCACTAAACACTTTTTGTTACTAAACAAGCAAATTCTGTAGTTTTTTTATTTTTTTTTCTACTAAACAAGAAAATTCTGTAGTATTTTTATTTTTTTCCTCTTTTTTCCGGCATTGTATATTTTATTGAAAGCAATCTTTTTTAAAATCAGTAAGAAAAAGAAATTTTGTATAGGTATAATGATTATTGCAAGACCACTCAATTTGAATTATAAATAACTATTTATAAAATAATAATTATAACTATTTGTATGTATAATGAGAATAGAATTTATTTTTAAAGAACTTTATTCGTATTAACACGTCCGTTGATGATGTTTAATAACATATGAATAACATACTACAAAAACATTAATTTGATACGTTGTAACTAATGTTGGTATCCAGTAATCAAGTAATCTTGTCAATTCCATAATCAATTAATTAATTTAATTTTAAAACAAAAACCTATAATATTTATTTTATTATAAATATCCATAAAGTAAGATGTAATTAATTTATCATTAGATATATAATTTATAATCTTAATATATGGTCATTTGTTATATATGTGGGCCCCAATAAACAAAATAGGTCAAAAATACCAATGCTGCACAAAATATAGTAATAGTAACCAATATGTTGTAATTGGGATTACAACATCAGCATAAACAAAAGAAGATTTGAAGGACTGAGTAGTATTTTATTTTTATTTTATTTTTTTTGAAAGATTAACATTCTTTTATCCAGACAGAATTTATGATGTATAAAACATACTTATTGACTTCACATGAACATTCTTGTCTAAATATTACCAAAACCTTTGTCCAGCTTCAAAACTGATTGTATTTTGAATTTTCTGTACAGCAATTATCCCTTCATGCACATGATACCTCTCTGAAGAATCAAGAATCAAAAACCCATGTGAAGTCAAACATGCGGCTTGGGATCGTCCTCGGCTATTACAGAATCTCGCAGGTCCATTTGGCCTATAATCAGAAAATGTTAAAAGAACGCTAACAAAGACAGCACAAGCTACCGGCATGTGTGCATATATGAAATAAGAGCACGAGAAAATATAACTTGCCAAATAATGACATCACTGATGGAGGCTTGGAAGGTCCATTTGAACTCAAATCTATGCCTGCATGAAGGTAAATAGTGGACAATACATTTTTAATGTATTTGTAAAAATAGAGGTACAGCCAAATAGGAGAAGAGAAAAAAAGTATGCATATATATAAGAAAGAAAGAAGAATATTAATCTGAAAATCACTCAACTTTCTGAATGAAGGTTTCTTGCAAGAAATTTTGTTTAATTTTGTGTAAACCAACTTATAGAAAGATTAAGTTGATAATTAAGCTCTCTTGAATAGCAAGCATCCAGTTCATATCAATGTAAAATGTAAGAGAATTATGCCTCAGGCACAGCAAACCCCACCTGCCGTGTCAGCTGATTTAAGGAGATCCGATTTTTTGAATGTATATCCAATAAAGTTGGCATCTTTGGATGTTAACATCTGTCCATCGAAGAAGGCGAACAAAATGAGCGATATCTCAATTTCTATTCGGATAACAAAGTAAAGAGTCATAAAATACAGACTAGTAATTTACATCGAAGAGAGTTGGATTAGCACACAAAAGACAATAGAGAAGTTATTCACTTTAAATATCTGTAGAATACCCAAAAAAATTTTCAGCCAATTAAGTACATTATCTCCCATGGAGAACACATTACTTATTGGGTCTTCTTCAAAAGATCCAATTTATGATTCACATACTCACACAATTTAAGCCCAAATAAAAATTAAAAAAAAAAGGGAAGGGAAGTGCTAAAGAAAATTTCTTTACCTTCCTCCAAGGTCCTACTCTTGGCGTGTCAGATGGTGGCTTTTCTACCTGTGAAACAGAGAAAAAAAAAAA